CGTTGGCTCCTGTATCTATCATCATATTGCAGGGAACTCTATTAATATGTCCTTTTGTGAAAAATCAATTACTGCCGCCTCTCACTGCAGAAATCTGAAGCGCTTTAAACTGGGGCATTTCATTATCTGGCAACCTCCGCCCCACGAGGTGGCCACTAATTAGTTTCCCTGCTGTTTGTAAAGAACGGTCTTAATATCCGCACCCTGGGGTATTCTGTAGTTCCGTCGTATGTATCCTTCACCACCACAGTCCCAGCATTTTACGGTCGGCTTCTTGTCACCAATATTCTGTCTCAAGGCATTCAGTTGTTTAGTTAAATCGTCTAGACGAGCGCTGATCCCTGCTCCTGCTTGAGCAGCTCTGATTTGGCGTCTCTACCGTGGCTTGCTGGACTGCCTCGAATTTCAGGCATACATAAAGCGCGTTCCATCTTTTAAAGCTCAGTTGCCATCGGAACGTCTTCCCATCATCCCTTTCGAATTTCCGGTATAAGACGCCGTTTCGAATGTGAAGTGAATCCCAGAATGCCCAGTATTTTTTTGTTGTAGGACTACAGATAGAAATGTCCTGCCCGGTAGCTTTTCTGTTTCATGACTCCATTAAATCAATTATGGGTTTAATGTCGCGGTCTTCCAGCTGGTCTTTCTGACTTCATCATCACTCCACGGGTCTCGATCAGCCGATGTTGATGTTGTAATTTGTCTTGCGACCGGAGTCAGCAGCTCGTATTTCGCTTCCACCACCCTGGAACAATATCGGCAGCTTTCTGGCAAGGTCTTCTAGACAGGGGCGTCGGCGTTCCCGTGTGATGATCCCTTACGATGACGGATAGTGATGTCATATTCTTGGAGTCTCTGTATCCACCTGGCTATTTGACCCTCAGGATTCTTGAAATTTAAAAGCCAGGCCAATGAGGCATGGTCCGTGCGGAGGAGGAATTTTCTGCCGTATAGATAATGATGGAAATGTTCTACAGCTTTGACTATGGCGAGCAACTCTTTCCTGGTGACACAGTAATTCCTCTCCGGTTTAGACAGGCACTTGCTCCAGTACGCCACTACACGTTCTTGGCCGTCTATTTCTTGGGACAAAACCGCACCGACACTTTCATTGCTCGCGTCCGTGTCGAGAATAAATGGTCTGTCGAGCTGAGGATACGTCAGGATTGGAGCAGATGTTAAAGCTTCCTTTAAGTTTGTTAAATGCATCCTCGCATTCTTTTGTCCACAAGAACTTTTGCTTGCTCTCTGTCAGCTTGTGAAGGGGTCTTGCGATGGAAGAAAAGTCCTTCACGAATCTCCTATAGTAGGTGCAAAGCCCCCTTTCTTAGACTTCGTTTTCTTCTTCAAAATGCTTTCCGACGATGATGATGTCGTCCAGGTATATCAGCAGGCTTCGTAGGAAAGGCCTTTCAAAACAGTCTCCATAAGACGTTCGAATGTTGCCGGCGCATTACACAGTCCAAACGGCATCACCTTGAATTGCCAAAGCCCTTGTCCCGTAGTAAATGCCGTCTTTTCTCGGTCATCAGGATGTATTTCTACCTGCCAATACCCACTCTTTAAATCAAGTGTTGAGAACCACTTGCTTCCAGAAAGAGTGTCCTAGAATGTCGTCAATTCTAGGAAGAGGGTAACTGTCTTTCTTCGTAACCTCATTCAACCGGCGATAGTCAACGCAAAATCTTGTTGAGCCGTCTTTCTTTCTGACTAAGAACGATGGGAGATGCCCATGGACTTGCTGAAGGCTCGATGACATCGCCTTCTTCCATATCCTTTAAAAGTGTTTTCGTACCTCTTCCTGTTTAGCAAACGGTAGACGTCTTGGATGTTGCTTGATCGGGGTGATGATCGCCGGTATCGATTCTATGTTGTGTCAAACTGGTTCGACCCACGTCAGAAGACGAGCGGGAGAAAACAACTTGAAGATCTTTAATGACGCGATCGGCAGCATTCCTCTCTTCATCGTTTAATTGCGCATTCTGCAATAACTCCGATGTAATGCTCTCTGAGGACACGGATTCTGGGATGTTACTCTTTCTTTCAACGCTGGTTACTGGAGTACATGCTGCAACCACTTCACCTTTCTTAATAACTCTCGCCTTCTCAGTTACATTGGCAACTCTCACCGGGATAACCGTTCTCGATAGGTCGACGAGTGTTGAGGCTACTAGTACTCCTTTCGGGCTATTACAGTTATTGGGATATTCTATGATGCCTGCCGTAGCGGAAATTTTTGTTTTCGGCTATGGATCCAGGAAGTAAAATTTCTGTTCTTGCCGGTATTGTGATATTGTCTTGTGCTATGATTTTATGGACAGATTTAACTTCTTCATTCATTAACTCCAAATAACGTTATGTCCTCAGATGTAGAATGCAATTCGTTATTTTTAAAGTCCAAGGAAAAATTGTATTTCCTTAGAAAGTCCAATCCGAGTATGCAAGGAATCAGTGATCTCTGCTACATATGCCGTGTGATGGTAAGCGGCACTTCCAAACGTGATGTTAACATTTACTTTTCCATCGATGTCGATCTTCTCACCGGACACAGTCTGGAGGGTAACGCAGGGCGGCGTCCAGATAAGTTTGCTTCCCAGTTGTTGAGCCAAATCTTTTCGGAGGATGGTAACGTTGGCTCCTGTATCTATCGTCATATTGCAGGGAACTCTATTAATATGTCCTTTTGTGAAAAATCAATTACTGCCGCCTCTCACTGCAGAAATCTGAAGCGCTTTAAACTGGGGCATTTCATTATCTGGCAACCTCCGCCCCACGAGGTGGCCACTAATTAGTTTCCCTGCTGTTTGTAAAGAACGGTCTTAATATCCGCACCCTGGGGTATTCTGTAGTTCCGTCGTATGTATCCTTCACCACCACAGTCCCAGCATTTTACGGTCGGCTTCTTGTCACCAATATTCTGTCTCAAGGCATTCAGTTGTTTAGTTAAATCGTCTAGACGAGCAGTGACTTGATCCCCTGGCTCCTGGACTTGAGCAGCTCTGATTGGGTGGCGGTCTCTACGCGTGGCTTGCTGGACTGCCTCGAATTTCATGGCGTACACTAAAGCGCTTTTAAAATCTTTAACATCCGAGATTCGCAGTGCTTTCTGTATTTCAGAGTCCCGGATGCCATTGATGAAATATTGCAGCGACAGGATTTCTCTTGTTTCTGTCGGGCACTCCGAAAAGGCGTGATGTGACAGCCTTTCAACATCCGTAGCGAGCTCCTGAAGTATTTCGGTGGGCTTCTGCTGATGGGATTTTAGTTGAAGCCTGCTGTAGTTTTTTAAACACTTTTTTCGGAAGCGCAACTCCAATGCGCCAGCTAGAGCTTCAAAGTCTAATCTCTAGTTTTCCGGAAGAGTCTGCAGGATATCCGCTGCGTCTGCTCTCAGGGAAGCGGCGAGATGACAGGCCTTAGCTTGGGAATCCCATCCATTCGCATCCGCAACTGTAGAAAATTGGGTCTTATACACTTGCCAGAATGTCTTCCCCATCATATGTGGATAGCTTCAGAGATGGACGAGTAGGCATCGGTAGAAATTTAAAATTATCCGGATAGCTCCTTTCCGTCGCTACGAATTTCTTTAAATCATCAACTTTTTTTGTGACCGCAGACACTCTATCATTAATTCGTTGTTCCACGACAGAAACTCTCTCTTCTATTTCTTCTTTTACCGAAGAAACGTTTTCTTCAATGTTTCCAACTTTATTTTCAACTGCGTCAATTCTGCCTTCCATAACCTCGAATTTGTTTTCTATTACGCTGGTAATTTCTATTTTCATCTCCTCATCTCTTGACCTGCTTCAATCTTTTCCTGAACAGTCGTCATCTACTTTAACTGCTTCCATCTTTTCTTGGACGGCTTCCTGTCCCGCCTTAAACTCTTCTTTAATGGATGTCATCTCTGCTTTAACAGAATCTTTCATGTCTTCTTTAAATAATGCTTGGCCAGCTTCGATCTTTTTCTGCCTATATTTCATCTCCACTTTAATTTCTTCATTAAAAGATGTTTGGCCAGCTTCCATCGTTTTCTGGCTGGATTCACGCAGCTTTAAAGCACTGATGAGCAAATGCTACTATCAATTGTCTCTAACCCATCTTCCATCGCTCTTGTTATTGGCATTCAAATCCCACTTCTGACACCAAAAATTGTTGCGTGCGTACGGGTTCGTTACAAAATGAATGCACAAGTCCGATAAAAAATGAAGAAAATTTATTATTATCACAACAAATATGATTAAATGTCCTCAAATAATCGTGCAGTATCACAATATATCACAGTAGTCATCTTCTAACTACTCAAACGTTCAAGAGAACTTGATTCAAAACAGCTAAAGAAAGCTTATCCATGAATTCGCTACAATTAACAAGAGCAGTATTCTAAACAAACTCTTAAAACAACAATAAACTAAGTAATTAACTAACTAGAGAGGTTTTTCCTCCTTTTTATAAGATTTTTATATCCCGCGAGAGAACTTTCTGAAACTTTCTCGAAATCAAAAAGAAATATTTATTTATTTAATGCACGCGCTCTTGTATTTTTAATCTTACGGCTTAGCTTTCTTTTAATATTCTTCACGTGCTGCACAGCACGGGGAATAAAACAATTTTATTCATAAGTCTACTAATATTAGCTGTTTAAATACCAAATTCGTAACACTATGTTCATAGCTTCCTTTGGTATCAGCACGTAACGGCGCAATTTGCACGCAGAGATAGTGCTACGACGTCTTCTGTTTGCCTTTATAATTTTTCCAACTATTTTAGAATCCCCGTACATGCATATGTAAGGCATGATTAGATATTTCTTTATTTTATAACCTAATGTATAATTTCATATTTAGCGGTTTCTTCAAATCATGCTTTTAAAAAAAATGATATAATGCACCTTTTGGGGAAGAATGGTATCTGAAAGTTTCCTAGTCGGATAATTTTCTTTTACTGGAGGTAATCGAACACGTCTGAAAACAAATTAATTTTCAAGAATTTAAACCTATTTATTTACCTCTGAATTTCAAATTCATAGCATCTTCAGCATCTGTAAAAACGGTAGCATCATCAGCATGTCTGTCCTTCCAACCCCCACAGGCAAATTGATAAAAATCCTCGCAAGGATTAGCATCCTCATCCAAATTAAATAAAATTTCATCAGCTGCAAGATAAATGAAAAATCATTAGTACAGTATGAATTTTGTTCCTCAAAAATAATTGCCATTCAAATTCCATAGAAAAATGTACAAGTTTGAGCTGTTAAGAGACAGAAACAGTATCTGTATGAATAATGTAAAAATCATCAACTATTCATACTAGAAGAATTTAGTGTTAGGAATTTAAGCTTATCTGATGTTACATAATTAAAACAAGGCTCATTCAGTTTATATTGCATGTAGGAAACTTAATTTAAATTGTAGTAGCAGAGTAGAAATTAAGTTCTAACTGCAATTGCATTTGTTAGATTTTTATTAAAATTAATAAACATTTCGCCCAGTGTTTTGCGCATATTAAATATTTTGCTTGTATTGGGATAAACTTAAAACATAACGCATTAGAAAGCATTTAGGAAGAAAGAATTGTGAAAATTAAGCATTATTTCTAACCTAATTTTGTTTGAATGCCTTAGAAATTAAGAAATCAGCGATGTAGTAATGGAGCCACTTTCCGACAGAAATAAATTTTCTAAGTTAGATTAAAAGAACGCATTATGTATTGTGTAAATTTTCCTCTGTTAAAAAAAGTACGTGTTGGAATTTTATTTCCGAATGAATATGAACTAGTTTTAAGGTATCATAAAATTAAGAACGGATTCAACAAATTTCATAATTCCATATAATAATACAGATATGAAATACATTCGGATTACAGCTTGATATAAATGATACCAAAACATCCGATAAAATGAATTAAATATTATAGGAATAAAATGGATGAGGGAGGAAATGTGATTACTTAAACAAACTTTTAGAGTTGCAGTTTCAAAGCTTAAATAGAAGCCTACTTCAGGTATGAATCTCAAAATAAGAACAAAAAGAGAAAATGTGCCCAAAGTATAACATAGGGAAATATTTTTAACAAATTATATGGAATATGGATCATCAAAGCAGAAAGAATATTTAGATGTGAAAAAACTTCAAAAAATCCAATTCATTAGTTTTAGATCCTTTCTAAGTAATTTTGTTGCAGAAAAATAGGAAGACGTGGTTCTGTAATCCATCTTAATTATCTGAAGACATTTATATAAATTTCATTGTTCTTGACGTGAAATTTTAAGGCTCGTTCTGTTTGCTCAATGTGTATTAAACCACACTACCAGGAAAAGTTATAGACACACTAGAATCTAAGATTGAATTTCGAGATTTTATTTGGGAAAAAACACGAAACTGAAGCAATGTAAAATGTATGAGTTTTATAACTAACCCGTAAAAAGATGCAATAAGTGGAAAACTTTTTGCGAGCGGTCAGAACGAAAGAATATTTTGTGGGGGGACTCAGCAGTGGCTCTACAGACCCTTTGTAAAACATATTCGATACGATAGTTCTAAAACCACTTTCAATCTTATGCAAACAACTTAAAATAATAATGATATCTAATTTCGACAGTTCTGGCTATGAGCCGTTAATAGGTTTGGACTCTATCTACGTTATGCCGATATCGAACGTATTTAGGTGTCAAACCTACGCTTTGCTGACGATACGTAGTGTCGGCCATATGACAGTATCAATACTATACAAGATAAATATACCACTGTCGATAATTATCGAGACACTTTCCATCGACAGTAGATTAGTAAAAATAATCTAACATAATAAAGATGTACATTTTCATACAGCTGCTCGACTGGATTTCAAGAATAATGTTTCTCATTCTCTAATTAAGTCTATGAACAATATTAACTCTCCAAAACATATTATTGAGATATTACTTTTCTGAGCGAAAACTCGCAACAATATCAAATAGCTTTATTACTGAGAGATTGCAAACCAAAAGCTATTTTCTGGCTTCATGCCCAAATGCAGACTTCTAACTTTACGTTCGACACTGTTGTATGCTATATATGTTGCAGCACACTCTAATAACAGTATTCGTAGATGATGTAACATTAGGTATTTCTGAAAGAACGAGATATAAACTATAGGGAGGTGTTAATCAATACTGGAAATTTTCAGCTTCCTTATAAAAAACAAAATGTAGATATTTTGCAGGAGAAATTCAAAGCTGTTTTATATAGCTCCTCACGGATTATTAAAAAGATACCGGTATTTATACTAGAATAAATTATATTATAACTGAATACATATTAACTGAATATATTAAAATAAAAATATTAAAATATTCCCTGGGATAAAATGTCTCTTCAGAAAATGTAAGGTCAGATCTGAGCTCTGAATCCTCCTAACTAACATTAGCTATTCGAAACAGTGGCAGAAAAGATAGTATCCTAGAGCTCATCAGCATGGACATCTCTCAGTGAGTGAAATAAGTGTTCACTCCTCTCCGTTCAGCATTCTCTTCTACTAAATATAACATAAAAATAACTTCAAGTGCAATTCTTTATGTCTTCCCAGGTAAACCACCCCTTCATCTTATTGTAACAGTAGAAGCAGTAGAAGCTAAGAAGGTAAATATGAGAAGAAATAAAACTTCGAGATAATCCATTTTAACCAATAAATTATGAATGCCCGAAATCACTGTACCACCATCACCTAGCTACGAAGCATATCATCAAGATATGTGTTTTAAAAAAATCATCGTATCAAATTCCTTTTTACCTGTTATCTACACATATGCTTGGAATTATACAGTACTCACGCCTCCCTCCCCGTCAATACGACCCCACTACGAGCACCGCGAGCTAGTCAGAGCACTTACTGGCGAGTACTGCTTTGTGAGTGTACTGCTTTGTGAGTGTTTCGATGCATCACAAAGATTTGCTCAAGCCTCCCATGTTGGGAGCCCACTCACAACTTGGTGAGCTGGTTAGCAGCTCCCCGTTCGAGGAACGTTGCCGCCCATCCACCTCGCAGAGTTGGACCGTAAATGGGTGTTATAAAAGTTCAGAAGAATGTAGGTAGCGATGTCATCATCAACTTGTCAAAATATTGAGTTTACAAATCAAACGGTCATCTATGCCCTCATAGTGTTCTTTTAAAAAGATAGTTGAGAACTATCAATGAAGCTGTTAATTTACCGATTCTGTCAACGTTACCAAAATGAATATCCACTCGGATTGCTTTTCAGCAATCAGTTTTCTTCATCTGCTTCCTCTCAGTCCCCTTATACAGACGATTATTGGACGATTTCCTCTCGAAATGACTCAAAGAACTGATTCACTTTACTGACAGAATGAACAGTGATTACAGAAAATGGAGGATACATCGCGCTTCTTCTCTTAGATCTTCATGGAAGAATATGCCTAAATTTTTAATGAACATTTAAATTGTTTTTGTTACTTTAATTTTGAAATGTATTTTAATGAGTAGGAGAATTACATGCAGACAATACACTTCCGATTGCAAGGGTACTAAAAGAAAAATATTTAAATTTAGTAAAAGAATATTGCATAATCAGAACATAACGAGGAGAATTTAAGTAGGTAATTTAAAATTAAATTAGCATTTCTAATACACGTATTAATTAAAATTATTTTAATAATTATAATTATTCAAATATTAAAATAGAAAACTGATTATACGATTTTTCCTACTTCAAAAGAAATCTCAAATGTTTGAATCCTTTTGTTGAGAAATTTATCTTTCTTCGCCCTTGCATTTGTATAATATTGTGTACCCTTCATGAATGCCACTATTTTTGGAAAATTCTTTGTTTCAATAATTTTCACCTCGTTTACATTGACCTAATTAAAAGACTTCATGGTATGAGTAAATCAAAGAGCTGCATAATTTTGTTTTGGTGTCGAGCTTATGCATTGTTGATTATGTGTTGATGTCGGTCCTACGCATTATTGATTAGAGGTGGACGATTTCCTCTCGAAATGACTCAAAGAACTGATTCACTTTACTGACAGAATGAACAGTGATTACAGAAAATGGAGGGGTCTTTTACAGTTTGAGGTGAACTTTTGTTGGAAGCAGGCCAGGCCTATTAGTTTACGATCTGATTCGCTTTACTATGTTAGTGAATACCTGATTCGCCAAAAGAAAGCAAAGCTCTTTTACAGTCCAAATGCACTGAGAGCTTTTGTTGAATGCGGGTCAGGAAAGTCCGATTCTTATTTTAGGAGAGAAAAGAATGTTTATGCTGCCATATGAGTTTTTTTTTTTTTTTTTTTTTTTTTTTTTTTTTTTTAATTTCTCAGCTTTTTGAAATTTTTTACTCTGGAATTTTTTGTTAGATCTACGTAGAATAGAGGTTTAGGGAATCTCTAAACTACAGTTGAATGAAATATCTGGGAATAGCGCCTGATTGCATCAATTCTTCGGATCCCATTGCTGGTTCAATTCTCTTCGCTTTTCGCTGCATCTTCGCTAACTATTCTCGATTCTATTACTTGTTCGTTTCTTTCCTCTCTTCTTTTCATTAATCACTCTTGATTAACTCCTCGATTCCAATATTTTTCATCAAGATTATTGTCAGTGAGTGGGGAGACATAAAAAGAACTGATTCAGTTCAGTAAGCGATTGGTATTCTGATCCAATCCTGTAAAAGAGCAATTTTTTTCCGACTGTGTGTGGATCACAAGCCTCGATTCTAAGCTGTGTCTTTCCTGTTTCCTTTTCTACCCCAGCACATGCCAATAGTAAGCCGATATCGAGCCTATGAATATCGATCATATGGCTATGAAATTCTTTGCAGGCGACAATGCGCATTCATTCTTTTATTCATCATCACATTATTATAATTTTTTTCATGAACAGCTCTTATGCCGGTAACCAGGATTCTGTTGTTGTATATCGGTATTGATCTACTCTATCTCCACCGTTACGTGACGTATACGTTTTCGATCTTATACAGTTCTTGATTCTGTAAAGTGTTAGTCCTAAAATATAAGCCTTTTTTTCTTATGCTGAGATGAAAATCTTTTGACTGCTTGGTTACAAGATGAAAAGTCATACCGCAACTGTTGTACTGATGAGGATAGTTATGAAATTTCCTTACTCATTATTAAATTTGGAAAAAGTCATACTGGTAGAGAAAATCAAACAATCAATAACAGCATTTCTTAAAACAGTTCAAGAAAAAGATAACAAAGACGTAAAAGCTATGTTATTCGTAACAATACTGATTGCACAATAATAGAGAAAATGAATGAAATGAAAACTCTCAGTACAAATCAATGAAACATTTAGAGATAATGAAGCCATGCTGATAACTTGCATAAAATATATTGAAAAAGATGATCTTGCTGAAAAAAATATCATTCTGCAAATCATTAGAGAGAACAACAATCTCCAAAAATGTATACAATAACCTAAAACGTTTCTTAAATATTAATAAATAACACGACAGAAATAATAAACGCTCAAGAGAAAGTGTGCGAATGTATCGGGAAACTCTCACTTAATGTGCAAGTTAAGGACGAAAACCTTAATATCTTATTTTACGTAGTGAAATACTTGCAGAACAAAATCATTCTGGGAACCCAATTCCTTAGGGCCGGAAATGCAAGAACTGATTTTTCAGTTAATTCAATTACGTTGGATATGGATTTAAGGAAGGTGAAAGTTGCTGAAAAAATTACAGAAATCGACCTCCAGCATTTAAAGGAAGATGAAAGAGCCAAGCTGCAAAAAATGGTAAGTTTTCTTCATTATATTCTGATAAGCTTGGGAACACCCAGATAATAAATCCTTCTACTGAGTTAAAATCCAATGAACCTTGTAAAGTGAAACCGTACAGGTATGACAAAGAGAAAGAGGCTATCATTGAGTAACATATACAAGAGATAATAAAAAATAAAATTATAACTCCCATAAATAGTGAATATGCGAGCCCTGTTGTGCTCTGAAACTTAATAGTTTAACTATATTTCCGGTTTATCCTTTACCCGTGATTGAGGAGATTATTAGGAAAATAAAATCTACAAAATTTATGACTGCTCTCGATTTCACTTCAGGATATTTTCAAATAGCCATGAAACCGGAAGACATAAATAAAACTGCTTTTATTACTAAAACAGGCACTTATGCGTTTTTACGTATGCCTTTCGGACAGCTTCAACTTTTCAAAGTGCTGTGGATAATATTTTACGCCTTGTCCTCGGAAAATCCACTTTAATTTATTTAGATGATATCATCATAACAAGCAGTACTATTGATGAACATATAAAAGACCTTCACGAAGTTTTTTCATTATTGAAAGAAGCAGGATTAACTGTAAATGCATCAAAATGTAAATCTGCAACCAAAGAATTAAGATATCTAGGGTAAAAAATTTCAAGTAAAGCCGTTCAGACTGAGAATTCCAAAATAAAAGCTATTAAAAATTACCCTCCGCCAAATACGGCAAAGAAGCTGTCATCTTTTCTTGGACTAATATTATCGTACGTTTATTCAAACCTTCGCTAACATTGTTGAACCTTTACTAGTGTTAAAACGGAAGAAATCAAAGTTTATGGGGACAGCTGAGGCAAACACAGCCTTCTAACAATTGAATGCAGCTCTAATTAACGCACCCGGAGGTAAAGTTTCCGGAGGGTGATGATAATTTGGAGTTTGCTGCCGAATCCTCAGATTATGCCGTGGGTGCGGTGCTAATGCAAAATTGACATCCCCTGGCATTTTTTAGTAAAACCTAAAATACCACACAACGGAATTATACGGCGACCGAACGAGAAACAATAGCCGTGTTAATGGCAGTTTAGAAGTTTCGGGTATATTTCGAAAAAGCACCCGTCACAGCATATTCAGACCATGCTGCCGTAGGTAGACTATATTCGAGAAAGAATTTAACTCCTAGACTAATTAGGCTCACCAGCGGCCGAGCGGTAAACTCGCTGAACACTGGTAGTTCGATCCGAGGTTCGAATCCCGCGAACGGGCTGGCTGCATGGGCGTTTTCGTGGTTTACCCCATGTGTAACGTGTATACGAGTCAGTTTCCCTTAGAAAGTCCTCCACGACGGCATCCCTCCCCTTAGGCAGACAGCCCTAGTGTGCTTTGTCATAATTAAATAAACCAAACCAAACCTAGACCAATTAGATGGATCTTAAAGTTACAAGAGTACAATTTAGTAATTAAGCCTACTCCATGCAAAGAAAATACAGTGGCCGACGCACTATCAAGAATGAAGATAGATGACAATGGGGATCAAGTAAAATGCGGAATTTTAACGTCTAAAGTTTTAGATTCCCGAGAAACTATTATTTCTGAATTGAGAAAGGATCCAGAATTTAGTGATATCTATGCTTATTTAAAAAATCCAGATAACTTCGAACATCCAGACCTTGCCGCAATTAGAAACAGAACCCAAAATTACGAGATTCTAGATAATTTATTTTTTTTATACTAGGTCTACGAATGAAAACTTCGAATATAGGCCAGTCATCCCAGCCGATATTACATTGGCATTTTTCTCATAATTAGGTGTGAGCATGTACTAATGGAAAACAAATATGTTACTAACCATAAATAATAAATAAAGTATAAATGAATGAAACTTAAATATTTGTAATGTTATTCAAACTAAGATACTAAACTTATCTATTCGTGTATTAGTATGCATTTTCGTTTCAGTAATAGATAATTTAGGAACTCGGAATATTTTTCTTAATTTTAGAAGACTCCAAATAGTGCTGATTTGCCAAATACTGTTGTATTTTATGTAGTTTTACTGGATTATCCATAATAGTATTTTAGTAGCTATTTCTTTAAAAGGTATTTTCTCCGTCCTTTCCGCATGTCTTCGTGGTGTAATTGAAAGCATACTCGTCGCGTATTCGAGAGGTCCAGAGTTCGAGTCCGGCGAGGGCACTGTATATTTTCACATCTCCTACTTTAAAAAAATTAATGACAGTGGCGCGGGAATTAAAAGGTGGTGGACAATAATTCGTCACCACAAGGATTTGGCGATTGGGTCCCCTAATTCCCAGGCGCCCTTTAAAAGGGGAAAGTATATAAGGTATTTTCTCCCTTCTTCCGGCATGCTTTCATGGTTTAACGATAGCACATTCGGTGCGTATTTGAGAGGTCCAGTTTCGAGTCCTGGCGAAGGCATTTCTCATTTTTTCATCCTGCATCAAAGCCTAATGACTCTATATATACTTTATCCCCACGCATTTACAGAGAGCAATTTTATATTTTTCCCGGAAATATTGAGAGTTCAAGCTTAAAAGACCTTCCTTGTTGGCAATTAATAACTTAAGTAGGTATCCTAAAATTTTACAGCGCTAATAGGGGACCATAGCAGGTAATAGCCAGGAGAGCTGACTGGATTATGGGGAAGCATAAATAGGGCTGTCTGCCTACAAGAAGAGATGCTTTCGTGGAGGAATTTCTATCGAAAATCGTGTTACATTTACTTCGCACGAGATTTGAACTCATCTCCAACTACTTATGTACCACGGTCCTATTTACTAGATCACTTGTTAATTTTTAATGAATGAAAATGCAAACAAAATTAATTCTTTTATTAGATTACTTTAAATATGTTTATGATGTGTTTTAGTCAAAATATATGAACAAATTAAATAAAATAATTAGTCGTAAACAAAGAGCTGATCGAGTAAATTTAAAAAAATTATACGGCACTTCATAAGCCGGAAGGATTCTAATTTATTAGTTACAATAATTATAGCGACGAATGCAAACTTTAAATTTAATAACGTATAATTTGTTTTAAGTCTTTGAAAATTTTCCGCAGTTGACAAAGCAAAATGTAATTTCATAGCTTTCCTTTGTGTTTTAGAACTCCTAAGTCAAAATTTGGAAACGGACTTTTCAAACTTTGTTTCAAGCATGCATGAAAAACTATCTTATTGTACTAGTACTTATTGCTAAATTAGAACTCAAAAGGGCTTTAAAAGAATTTAATACCCTTTAAGCGTTGAATGAGTGTTTCAAGAATGAGTGATTTACATCGGAGGAAGCAGAAAGATTTAATGTTTTTAGAATAGCGATAAATAATAATATAAAGAACATACCTGCTCTTAAGCATTCATGAGTCTCGCAAACAGTAGTGTTTGAAGATATATTCAGTAGAGTTCCTAGATGAAATAAGTCCACTGGAATGTTAGCAGCTTCTCCTAAATCTGGAAAAGAATACTAGTTTCAGAATTAAAAATACTGGTAGGAATAAAACTTGCATGCTTATCAATAAGCATTAGCAATAAGTTAGATATAATGCTGTTGTATTATTTTCATTTATATGCCGAAAACAATGAAATATTACAAAACTGTAATAAATCGATTTCGTTTAATTTTTTGTATTCTTTTGTATTAGGGGTAACTATACTGAGTTATTTATAAGTTTATGAATTTTTCTTGACAAGAATGAATGAAAGTAACTAAAGGAAAGTAATTAAGGGAACTGATAATACAATAGGGAACTGATTCCAATGCCAGCATGATCTGTAAAAGCAAGGTGAAGGCAAAGTACAAAGGATGCTTATATATTTTTAGATCGACTTCGAGGCCATTTAATCAGTGTTTAAAATGTAAATAGTATTCTTTTAAAGGTTCGACCTGATAGCCTTTCTTCTGGACTAAAAGTCTGCATCGTGATTTTCATGACAGAAAGGCTTTTGATAAAATTTCCGAGATATTGATTGCCATTCCTCTTCCTGAGTCCATTATTCGTCGTGGGTTGCTCTTAGAAAGCGCTCTTTTCAAAAGACTAAAGCACAATAGTCCATAATGAAACGTCAGGGCACTTCGCAGGAATACATTAGCTATGCGTTACCTGTATCAATGTTCATTGTTTCAAGGAATGTAGTGGTATTTTTCGAAGTATGACTTTTTGGATTTTTTTTTTTTTTTTTTTGATGAATTTCACTCTTTGATAGTCACTGATAGGATGAGGATGAGAATAGGACAGGGATGAAGATGGGATAAAATGCATCGAATTTCTTCTGTAAATATCGGACTTAAAACTTTATCTTGATGATATGTTGAATTGGTTTTTAACATTTCTTTCCTGCCATCCTATTTTAAATTTCCCATTATCAGAGAATCCTGCGATAATCATAAACTTCTTACTGAAACATTCTTTACATTGACGGAATCAGAACTGTACACTTTTTTATTTTCATTTTCGATGAAAAACATTTTTTTTTTTTTTTTTTTCAGTTATTTAGGTAAGTCCATGCTTTTGTTGCTTGATCAATGGTCACAATGTATTTCCATTTATCTCCTGCTAAATAGTTTTCATACGTGGTTCTACAAATTTTTCTTAATTCAGCCACGTGCCTTGGCAAGAGCTGGTGAACATTACGTTTTTTACCTTTTTTAAAATATAAATCTGGTTTATTATCTTTTTAATGTTGAAACAGATGTATTTAAAGCTTTAATGATATCTGCGTCAGAGGATTTTTCTCTTGTTTCCAATGATTTAACTTTAGAAACATTAGAAACAGTGCATACATTTTTCGGGTATTCGTTTGCAGTTGTCTTTCCAAGTAGAAGTAATAGTTGACGGGTTCTCCCTTTTCGATTAATAATGTTGCACTTCCAAATTTTAATAAATGCATTTCTCAGCGTTTTGTATTTAATTAGGAAACAAAATATTTCTCTTCGTAAAGCGCAAAAACATATCCTTCAATCCTTAGCAGGTTTACACGCAACATTTTAAAGAAGAATAAATTTTATTATTTATTAAATAAATTTAAAGTGACGTGCGATATTTCTTATTTCAAATAATAAGCCAAAGCATTTCAAAATATTTGCTTTTTTAAATTCTTTATCCAAATCGTTCTAAATAATGTCTTGTATATGTTACGGCCAAAGTCCAAAGTCGGCCAGTTCCATCGCGAAACAGCCAATATCGCCTCACAATGACCGGCCAATGTCCGATCTTTTTTTGATTTCGAGGTTTGGCCTGCCAGTTCGCGAAATGGCATGGGGCGATCGGCCAAAGTCGGAAGAAAAGTGTCATGAGCAAATTTTGGGAGTTTGTATACCGTAATGCTAATGATAATCACATTATAGCTGCCACAGAGGAGTTTTCCGACAAATCGCTCCTCTTAGGCGCCTAGGATCGTCCTTCGGAACAAGGGCCAAGGAGGTCCGGTGGCCCTAGGTGGGCTGTAGTCTAAAGGGAGAAGTTTTAGTGAGTAAGGATCTCACAGTGCCAGAAACCTCCTGATCTCTTATGAAAATTTGGCACCATTTAGTGCTATTAGAAGTTTGAGTTAGGAGAAATTGTTCGAAAAATTGTAGGTGCTGTACTTGGAAAGCATGTACAAATTCTTGAAACTGAGTTTGATCCATAGTATAATAAAAAAACAAACGAATATTGAAAGGGCTTACCTATTCGGGGAAAGCACATTAACCCGCAATCGAAACTATTCAGTTGGTGGGCCCGTAAGCAATAACGCGTTGCCAGATTCGTAATTCGATACATAGATGCCAGAAAATATAACACATTGTCCTTGCTACCATGTGCATGCCGTCATCAGACCGAAATCGACAGCTGCGCCCCCTATCGAACAGTCTTGCTATCGAACATTGGCCAGGGAGTTCCGGGCACTTCGGGAAGTAGGCGGCCAAAGTCGAATATACGCTATTCATTTCCAGTACATCGGACATTAGCCACACGCCCCGGCCAATGTGCGAAATGGCCGGCCAGTTCGGGAACTGGCCGAACTTCGGGCTTTGGCCGTAACATATATAATTAAATCAATATCGAAAAAGTTTTTTTTGTTCAAAATAAATGGTGACTGTGTAGAGACATTAGGATTATTTTTGGAAGCAGGCAAGATGAAAAATTAGCAACCGCCTTCGCCGGGAATCGAACCACGGAGCTCTGAAATACCGGCTCAGTGTGCTGACCACTACACCACGAAGGCACGCTAGGAAGTCGGAAGAAATACCTTATAACTGAAACATCTTCAGAAAAATGAATTCGCATTCGTTCACTGTTTCGGAATAAATAAATAAAAAAAAAAAAAAAAACGCATTACTTTACTATAAAGCTGCGTTTACATTGGTTCGCTGTGAAAACGTTGAAATGAACGTTTTCTACGTACGGCAATTCACGCCAAAGCGGAAATTTTCGTTTTAAAAGCCGTCATTTACCCACATTAGATGGCTTTTCATATCGAAAGCTTGGAGGAAAACCTATGTTTTTGGTTGGTTCTTTGATTTCCTAGAGTTATAATTTTTATTTGAAGCAGATCTAATTTCTGATAGATGAAAACTTATTTTACTTCTTGCTTTACGTGTAAGGGGCAGAAGAAGGTATGCAAGATGATGATATGCGAGAGATGACTTCAGCAAGGATTCATTCCCCATAAATACGTAAATCAGTCATTGGTTGAATAGGACACCTTATGCTTTCGAATACATAAGTTCAGTTGCAGATAGATAATCTTAAAAAGGTAATTCTGATTACTTTCTGATTAGAAAAGATCAGTTATGACTCAATAAAGGCAATCGGATAGCTCCTAAAATTATTAAGCTGTTCGGTCGGCTTGAAGAAAGATAGTCTACTAAAGATGATGTTAGTTTCTTCAGCGTGGAACGCTGTAATTTCTTACATGCGAAAAGAATATTAGATGGGTGGATCAGTTACCTGGATACCTTTACTTTGCCTTTCATAGGTTATTATGGCTTTTTATTTTAAATATTTATAAGCTAAGCACAAACGAGCGACCAGGTACAATCCAAAGCCAGTACTTATTACAAGAAATTTGAAGGTCAATATCTCCAATTATACTGCGGCAAAGACTACACATTAAAGACCCGCGTATCAAGAGCATTAGTCTCTTAAATATTACAGCCAGAGAAGCGCGTTTGAATTGGAAAACAGCTAAATGATCTAACATAATTTTTTTTTGGATACTTAAAAATTTGCAATGGATTTTGATAAAAATCATGTTAGTATTAGGAGAAAAGAAGAAATACTGCACAAGCCCAATAATATCATTGAACACTCCTGGTAGGGTAAATGTGTGGGCTGGATGTTTTCAAGCTATCGCATTGATCTACACGCGTTATATGATTCACAGTGACAGTTCTTGACCGTGCTGTGAGACTATATACTGCTAACTATATAGAATTTTATAACGCATGAAAAATAAGTTTATTCCAATAGATTATATTTTATAGTGTAGTTCTTACCTTATTCTTGATTTTATAATACTATGTTATACGCATTTGCATAAAAGTTATAAGTACTTAAAAAACTTAACATGAATATTGTCTTTTGTATTCACAATTCTGCTTCAATAAAATCACATAATTTTTCCTTTATCTGAACTTTTTTTTCTTTTAGATATTTGTTTTTGTTTTCTTTTATTTTCTCTTTTTTTAAGTCAGCAAAAATTTTAACTAAGCTCTCAATATTCCCTGAACGTGCAGTCTGCCTTTGTAACCCCTTTATAGAAAGATCCCTTGACTATTCTCTTAAAGGTAGTAAATAGGTTTATAAGATTAAAACTCTGCAACTCTGTATTCTTGCTGAGGCTGAATATATTGCCAACAAATTATCAGAATAACTAACACATTAGAAAAATGTCTTCCAAATGCTTTTCTCACATGTACTGAAGTATTCTTAAATAACCTAAGTAGCCAACGTAGCAGTTCCAAACCTGTATAAAACAATAGGCCAAAGACTTTAACTAACTAAACGTTGCTTCCAAAGAAAAGACACTGTGGTTTGTGCATTACTAATTTCGTAGAAATATCGATATTTGAACCAGAAATATAACACTGCGCGTTCTGTTTCGCTGTTTTATCATATTGCGATCTGTTGCTGAGTTCTAATTACAGTTCACGTAAAATTTAAAGCATTAGAGTAGAGAAGTAAAATTCATTGGAAAATTCCGTTTTTTTATTAATAGTTATATTTAACTATTAATCCTCTGGGAAACTCGGGGACAGCCATAAATGTAGAATTGCTGGGCCTCTAAACCACCTGTGCATGTATTAGATATCGGCAACTTAAGCTGCATACCTTCCTCACAAAACTTTTCAAGTAGTTATAAATACTTTAGTGATTTAGTGATTTCAAGACTTCCTTCTCTTAGGGTAAAAGAAGTACTTGCACTTTTATAATTATTTAATGAAAATGCTCAGTAAAAAAATCCGAATTGTTACCTATTTTCTGGATTCCAATTTTGAAACAAGAATTGATGAGAGAATCATCGTCGATGAGGGACACTTCCCGTTGTACGGTTGCCAGTGGTCTTTTATCTAGAAGAAAACATTCCACTCATTTAAATAATGCGACATGTGCAATGCATGAAAAAAAAATTCTAAAGTAAAATAGAATATGGTATTACTTCTAAAAATCATACAGAGAGTCTTCATAATCGAAAACCTTTTACGGGGAATTTCAGAAGATAAAATTAAGCCGGTGATTTAGTTCGAATACCAGAAATATGTCGCAAATTCCCCCTCAAATGCTTTTTGACAAAGATTCTGAAAAATTAATTGCACTTTTGTCGTAACTAATTGTCGTAAACCAGTCTCTGAAGTTTCCATTAATTATACTGTATCTCTAAATTTTTAACTGATAATAAATAACACGTGGGAAGAACGCCTTTATTTCTTGATTTAGTCAGATTTTAATATACTTGAATAATAGACATATTAACTCTCAATGTTTTACTCAGTTTGTAGTTCGTTAGCAGTATTAGTTATGAAATGAGTGACTTAATGAGTTTTTAAAAACTGTTTAAAGTAGTAAAAATGCGTGTAACTTTTTTATCGCTTAAAGTTTAAGCAGTGAATTACGAAAATTTGCTTTAAATATCAGTAGTCATATATTCAGACTAAAACGTGTACTAATAACGAATAATGTTGTTTAATCTTCTATTCCCAAACTTCTGCCCATCCGTCCATATAATGGAAAAATTTATATTTTATTCTGTATAATGTAAGCTTAAATATCAACTTTTGCATTCTAATCTAAATAAGAAATAAAAATGACTTAAGCACAAATTTTTAATATCAGTGTATAAGGTATTTCTCCCGCCTTTCTAGCATGCCTTCTTGGTGTGGTGGTCTGCACGCTGGGCGCGTATTCCAGAGGTCTTCAGTTCGATTCTCGGTGAAGACGATGCTCATTCTTCACTTCTCCTGCTTCCAAAAAATACCTAATGTCTCTACAAGTGTTTCCATGATCCGTAATAGTAGACAGATAGTCGTCAATGACGCTGAAAGCATGGGTAAATTCGTAAATGAATGCGCATGTAATTTGATCCTTCATCTTGGTACATCTCAAAAATAAACAACGGTTAAAATCTTCCCATATTAATCCAGTTACAAAAGTACTTATTGTGTTTGTGTAATTCATTATTGCTGTAGCTTGTATGCCCTTCCCAAGCTTCAGAAAACTTGTATCACATTTTACCTTTTCTTCCACAACTGGGCACTGCGCCTTTTTTTTTTTTTTTTAGATAAAATATAGCATATCTTCTGTAAGACGACCAATGACGGATTCAGACAATTTTGATCTTTTTTGATCTGCGAATGGCGAATGTGGTCATCTCTGGGGAAATGATTAAAAACGATGACGATCGTATTCAGAGCTCATTAGAAAAAACTATTCAAATACAAAATCAGTATATTGGTTTATTAAAAGTTATATTAATGAAATTACAAAAGAACAGCAAAATATAATGTTGCAAAAAAGTTAAAGAAATCTTTTGTTTCGTATTTAAATTTCTCAAACGTTGTGAATAAAAATATTTTTAAATATGTAAAACAAATGTGCGTGCAGAAAAAAACTGCAAACGTTTTATATACGAAACTTAGTAATTTTGAAAGGAATGTTATTTTAGTTTTAAACTAACCAGTTTTGTTTAGTTATTTAGCTTTTCTATCTTCTCTCATTTCCACTTCCTGCCAGAATGATATTTCACTTTCGCGTGATATGCAAAGTAGGTTAGAAAGATACTGTTTAAGCTGGTGTCTGAGTTACTACAGACAGAGCGTGTTCTGCCGTTCGGCCACGCTGTTTTGCTGATATTTAAACTTACTGTTTTGCTGATATTTAAACTTACTGTTTAACGGCAATACCTTATAACTGCCGGTGTGTGTGTACTTCGGTGGTAGGGCTATAGAGCCAACTCGCGTTAGTTATCTTTGTGCAATTTCGGCTGATTATTTAACTTAGTTTTAATTTTATATTTCTATTTTTTGAGTTGCAACGAAAGTTTGTAAGCACCAGGAGTGCCGTCTTTAAATTCTTCCTTGAGTTGCATAAAAGGATCTTTTCACCTTTCCCAAGTCTTGTCATTGATACAGTTTGAACATAGTGAATAGTCGTTTCACAGTTCAAGTAAAGATCTAGCTAGCAAAGTACCTTTAATGTAGTTAGAATCTTACAATCTTCTTAGCTAATATGAATTGTAACTGAACTGATAGCGAATTATCGCTAAGTCAAAAATAACTACTAAGACACAAAAAGGCTGTAAAAGACCCTTTATTGAAAACTTTTGAAGAGCAGAAAGCACACCTGGAGCTTACTCAGCCAGAACGTTAACAATCAAATGCAAAATTTAAATTCAAGTAAGCTAGTGGCGAAAGCTACAAAAATCAGTTTAACGCAGAATTGGCTAACAGACCTAACCAGCGTAGATAATCAAATATCAATTCAAATTCAATTACAATGCAATGCCGAAGACTAAAAATCATATCAGAGCTGGCCAAACATAGTAACGTGGCTTCAAGAGGCAGAACAAGCTTCGTATTACGTTCTAAAAATCTCAGTTTACAAGTGAGCTAATTTGCATTCAGGCATGAAAACAAAAGGAAGAAATGTCAGTAAAGGTCTAAATCATAATAACTGGTTAATTAACACAATTGAACGTTACATGTATTATAAATTTGTTTACTTACATTAGAATATTTATTATTCACACAATGTGATCTGTTTTCTCGATTGTTTCCTTTGGTTACACTTGTTTTTTTCCAAACTAATTTAAATTAAAATAGCCCCTTATTGCTTCTTAAACCAAAACCGTTTAACTGATTTTATACAAGCTATGATTAATGAAAATTTCAAGTAACCTTACATTAGAAAATTTTAATAATGTGAAAAGCCCGTACTGTTTATTAAAATATTCGTCTACTGAAATCTGTTTATTTAACTTTCTCTTTTGGAAAATCTTTTCTTTTTATGAAATAGTTTGAACTTTTAAAATAAATCCAAGTTGAAATGGTACATCGAATAATCTTTAATGAAAGTACTAAGTCAACAAGAATAAGCTTAATATTCTTAAATTTGCAGAAATAATTTCGAAGGCTTAAATGTAGAAACTTCTTCAGCTGCAGAAGTGAAAATGACGAAGCAAACCCCGTGCTTAGGCGATAACAATGGAAGGTAGGAAGTAAAATTAGTGGTGGCATTCTTTTGATGAAAAAGGAAACAACTAAGAAATGATTTCCTTAAAAGCTGAGATTGGAATTGGGATCATAAACTATACCTGAAAGATTTTAATGAACGACACGAGTGTTAATCTTCGAATAAAAAATTTATCAGTAAATCTAAGTGGGCCAAAGTTTATAATCTATTAAAGACGACTGGATAAAACAGAAATGTTTATAAGCATTATTTATTCATAATGAAAAACCTTAAATGCTTATAAAAATATTTGTTTCATTTGTTGTGCACATGTATCTATAACTTTTATTCTTTACATAAATTAAAATAAAGGAAAATGTATCAGTGACAAAATACCTCGAATTAATTCGCAAATTCTAAAATGTTATCAGCAACCTAAAGCCAAAGCAAGTACAATAACTCTGCCATTCTATTCCCACTGCGTCTTACTGCAACACACTTCCCTTCAATTTAAAAACAAAGTATAAGGCAAAAAGAAAAATATTAGTTGAGAAAGTGTGTAGCAAATTTATAGAAGCTCTGAATTGCAGTACCACAATAAGATCTATGATGTTGGATTATGCGTGCGTAACTGTGTTGAACACTATTCTATGCATCATTTACAGCATCTAGTAAAGAAATTTTCTTATTCATTTCATCAATCAGTAGCGTAACAATGTGGGTGCGGCCAGCACTGAGTACTAGCTTTAACAGGGATGAGAAAAAAATTATCGTGTTCTGTGTAACGAGTTGATAAGACTCGATTTAGCAGTGTAGGAGAAAACAGAGCAAATGACAAAAACAGCAAATTGGGTAGAAGAAGGAAATTTTATTTCCAAAACCTGAGCTGTACTATTAAATGTTAAAGAGCATCTATCATGTGCGTGCTATTGAAATAATAAAAAATAGTTAAGAAGAAGCCCCTACACTTGGGAATGTGGAATAAATTATTATTATTAACAGTAGAAGTATTACCTGCAGGTATACTTTTTATCGGTAAAATAACATGTGAACAAAATTTATTCTTAAACAGGACTTGAGACAGTCTTGTCTGATTTTAGTTTGATATTTTTCGTCCAGGGAATCGAATTTTTAACATCACTTGTCATTTACTACACTGTATGACTTTACTGCGTTGTGAAAGTTTTTGTGATGTTATTATTATGTGGCAAGTAGAGATTTATGTTTGTAAACAAACTAAATCCTTTATTTATTGCTTTCACATTAGTCACTAGATACTATAAAGTAGAGAAAATACATTGATTGTAAAAAAATTGTGAGCATCATGTAGAGCCATGCGAGAGGAATTTATCAAAACTCAAAGCAGAAAAGTTAGAAGGAAGAGATTTTTTTTTTCATGTTATCTATCATTACGAAAACCTTTGCATATGTTGTACTGCTACATTAATAGCCCATTAAACTGTGTTTTAATAAAAAGAACTTTTTACTTATTTGCCTTCATTCATAAAATCGTTTTACAAAACAGTTACATTATTCTCTCTTTATTTAACCAATTCAATCAAAACATTGCTTCCTCAGTAAATTTCATTTGATATTTTAATGGAGATGGGAAGTAACAAGTTAAAACTTCTACCCGTGTATTACCCGACCTAACTACGTCACAATCAGCAACATGTTTCATTGAATCTAGCATTAAGCTCTAGCAAAGTAGATATTATGCAATGATGATGCTGAAGTTTAAATAACTTAATAATTCCAAGACTCAAAAGTTGTAATTTATTAAACAATAAATCAACAATGAAATCTCCAAAATTAACAGAACGTCATTGTCCAGGATTAACAGAACTTTCTTCTTTAAACTTTTCAATCAAATTCAGAAAGATAAAGCCCGTGAACCAAATTT